GAGTATACATGTTAGCGAGTAAGCAAAAATAACCGGGATTCGAACGCAGAATCTTCTGTTGTCTATGCAGACGCCAGCTGGCTTACTGAGGCTTACGTTGGAAGTTCGCAGAATACCAAAGCAAATGCATTTATTCGTATTGTCGATTGTATAACTTTCTTCTTTTTTAGGAATCGGATATGCATCGGCTAAGATATTCGCAAGCAAAGGCGCAGAGGTTATTGTGACATGCAGAACCCGGATCAAAGCCCGATTGGTAAGCGTCTTCGACCTTAATTCTTTATCCAGGAAAGGGGTGGGCCTCAGCCCCATCGGCCTAAAGTAAGCTGTAAAATAGCTATGTTGAATGTAAACAAAATTATACCCAATTAACTTTTCCATAATGATTTTGGTGATGGAGGAGGGGAACTAGGCAAATTGTATACTCATTTATAAAAAAAAAAAAAAAAAAAAAATTATGTTTTATCCACCACAATCCCAACCACAATGCACGTGGGTGTTTGATAGATTCACGCGAAATTACCATTCTTAATCTTCGTAATAAATAGGCATTAACATTAGAGTTTTTTTTTTATGGAATTGACCCTACGGAAGCTTAAGATGACCTTTTGAGTGAAACTGAAAAAAAAAACACTTTTTAAGACGTCTTTCCGAGATAATTTATTTTGGAAAGACGGAATTCCAAGATAAATTATTTGGAAAGACGGAATACCAAGATAAATTATCTTGGAAGACGTTTTTCCAAGATAAATTATCTTTGGAAAGACGGAATTCCAAGATAAATTATCTTGGAAAGACCGAATTCCAAGATAAATTATCTTTGGAAAAACAGAATTACAAGATAAATTATTTTGGAAAGACGGAATTCCAAGATAATTTACCTTGGAAAGACGGAATTTCAAGATAAATTATCTTGGAAAGTCGCCCACCTAAAGAAGCTTCTCACATCATCTCGGAAGTCGAGCTTTCCAAGATAATTCCAAGAAAATTTATCTCGGAAAGACGGATTTCCAAGATAAATTATCTTGAAATTCCGGCTTTACCTTATCTTGGTATTTCGTCTTACCAAGGCTAATTATCGAGTATTCTTCTATCTAGTCAATGATCTTTTGAATTGCGGCTGTAGACCAAAAGTATTAATTTAACAAGCCGATTCAAAAATACTATGTACAATAAGTTTCATATTCAATTATGTTTTATTTATTTAATTACTGAATTCAAGATAAGATCTTAATATTTTAAAATGATATATGAGTATTCATGAATTTCAAGCCCGTGTCCAGAGGGGGTTGTAAGTACGATACCGGTACGTACCTTCCATTTCGAAAATGTCCGCATTTTTAGGACAGTCGAAAATGTAGCAATTCTTTTACCAGATTGTTAGTGCACAACTAGGATTATCATTTAAAAATATTACACAATCGGATTGTTCCTAGGCAATGCATACTCGAACTGTCCTGTCTATGATAAACTTGTTTCCAGTGGGGTAATTATACTGGTTGTTGCCAGCAAATTTAATTATTACCATAATTAAGTTTATGTGATTGACTCTTTTATCCATATCTGCTCACTTTTCGCGCCAAATATTATGTCAATAACTTTATCATGCACCTTTTCGTAATGCCATTGACACGTTTAGATGACTTTCATCTTTTTCTAGCAAGTGGCCATATTTTGACGTTAACAAATAACATCACAAATGTCACAAGTAGAAAAATAAACTTGCTGGACTAGAGCGAACAATGCCGCGGAAAGGAATGCGGATGTGATTGGTGTGGATAAAAGGCATAGACTACTGAGACTCTATTTAGGCTTAAACTAATATGGAAATACGAATACTGCCTATGAATTACTATAGTGACAAGTATTGTCCAAACGTCCATGAGTATCCTTGGGATAGACAATTTAATACAATATACTGGGCAGTGTCTATTGAACTATTCAGAGGCCGCGTGGTAGAAAAATTGTCCATGTGTAACATTCGTCGTGAGAATATGAAGTTGATCAAACTTCGGTAGAGATCGACAGGATTATATGTCATGGGTGCGTTCCATATTCCTCGTTCCATCCCCAGCTTCAATCCGGATCCTTCAATCCTGGATCCACCTCTAAAGGGTAGTGGTAGTACACTTTTTTTTTTATAAGAACCAGTAAATGTTTGCCCAGTCTCAGTGTTCTTATTTTTTGCCGATTACAGGCTGAAAATGTTCTTATTTGTTCAAATGTTTACACACTTTTAAACATAAAAAATTATTTTACAGCAGTAAGGTACAGATAGATTTGTTGGGTTTTTTTTCCTATTTTACTCGACATTTTACCTCAGCCTCAATTTGTTCTTATTTTGTTCTTAATTTTTCAGTGTTGTTAAAAAAGTTGTTCTTATAAAAAAATAAAAGTGTAGCACGATCTATTGACATTGGACCTATTGAACCATGGAATAGGATGTTGTTGAACTCGGTGGTAAATCTCGGTTAAGCAATCAATTCCTTTAATTTGAGAATAATAGTAACAATTTTAAGCTATGTCTATTATGCGATTGTGAGAGTGCATCTTTGGCAGCCTAATCTAACTGCTATCTGTGCTGAAGTAATCCTGAGCAGGGTGTTCAGAGAGTCAGACATAATAGTCTCAGTTGGTGGTCTTAAGGTAAATTGCTTTAAGGGAATGCACTTAGATTCAAGAATCAAATGACGAACATTTCAATCACTTCATTAAGCAAACCCTGATGATTTTCATGTTTCATTTAATACGAATTCATCGTATACGTTTGCGTTTCCTGTTTTTAAATCGGAATTCGGAAACGTTCAGTTTTCATTTAAATTGGCACCGTCACGATTTAAAATTCCAAGTGGAATGGTTGACTTAGCATTAGGCCTAGGAAAAATTACCTCTGATACTTGCGTTAGGATTCATTTCTGCCATTGTTTCTATTTTTTAATATTCTTGAAAATGTTATCCTACAAATTTGTAGCAATTAAGTAATTTCAAAATGTTCTCTATCGTAATCGGCACTTCCGGAGCGGAGGATTCCCCTGCATCCAAGACTTGGAAACCGTTTGGAGTATAGTTAAAGGTACTTTTTTCTACACTTTCTCCTCTGGGAACACATCATGCTGTCTGCCTGCAACTTTGAATTTCAATAATAACTGATTTTCTCTTCCATGGCTGTGTACCTAATTCTGGCTTTGGTTATAGGGGAAAAATAAGATTTTGTCAGAGCCCGACCGACAGAATATCTCGGAATCCAAAGGTGTTCAATATTTCAAAAAGCTACTTTTAGAAATATGCAAATTTGATAACTTAAAACTGAATTTTAGCCTTGCGGTTACCAATTTATCAAGCAAACTTCATGCGTAAAACGGTGCACAGGTCAGCACTGAACTTTAGGTTTGAGAAAAGATACCTGACGACCCTAATGTTTATGTCATTATTTATTATACAGTATTTATATCAGAAGATCAGAGTGTTTTTTTAAATGCGACATTGCCGTTGAGTAGCCGTGGCCTTTCTCGTGGTCATTGCTCCCACTTAAAGTAAGCTTTCCTCTTTGTTCGGTTGCAATTTTTAAAATTGTGCAGTATTCGTCTTTACAAGGACTCAGTAATTGAGGATGAAAACCATTCATTGTTGCAGATCCTGATTGTGAAAAAAAAAACCAAAACCATGGAGCTAGTTATAAGACTAATGACAAAACACAATGCACATTGTTCTCCAGAAATTACACAAGTAGATTGTTTCACCTACAGCCCCGAGAAATATCCGAGTCCATGAGGGAAGAAATGCTCAGGATAGGTAAACTTGTTGTACAGATGGATAGATTTAATTCAGGATCCAGAAATTTTTAGCTAGGGGTAAGGGGGGGGGGAGGGGTTGTGTCTACAAACAGTTCATGGTTTGTATCTCAACCCCACCATAGGTGTATTGTCCCATCATGACGCGGGTGTGGTTGGTAAACTAATATTCTCAGCGGTCTTAACAGTTGCTTATCTAGGACTCTTGAAATGTGGTGCTGTGGCGAGGAGGGTGGGGACGAAGGTGGAGCATGTGGGAAGAGGGGTGCTATGTCGCAAAGGTGTATGAGGTATACCTACTTGAGCGTGATTGTTTGCTTCGGACATTCCCCTCGCACTCCAGATACGCCACTGAATAATCAAGTACTATAATTTCAGACTGTCGAACAAATAAAATCGGAGCACGAATATGAAAGGACATACAACACGCCTACTGCTTCAGACCTTAAACTGGTACCAATGGAACTTGACTTGGCGTCATTCGCGTCAGCAATGGCGTTTATCAACGAATTCAAACGTCAACAACTGAAGCTGGACATCATGATCTTAAACGCAGGCATTGCAGGGGTTAAGAAAAGTAAGTATTATTCATTATTATCACCATCTTTATCATCATTATTATCAATATCAACATTATCATTTATTGTGTCATTCCGGTTAGTGTAGTATTAACCACTTCATTATTACCCCTTCTGTAAATATTTAGAGGGTTATCCCAAATATGAACATTGATGACTTACTTTCTCAATTTTGTTTCTTTGTATTCTGTTTTTCCAGTTTTGTGATGTTATGAAGTTGATATCAAATATATAAAATCAGACAAACCATTTTTTTTTACCATTACCATTATCATCATCATCATCATCGTCGTCGTCTTCGTCGTAATTATCATTATCGTTGTCATTATTATCATTATCATCCTTGTAAAAATTGTGGAAGCTCACAGCAGTGCCAAGCATCGAGAACAGTATTTTATGTCGCCCTCAAAGTCTAATTTCTGTAGATAAAATACTTAAGCCTATCTATCATGGCACTTGTTTCGTTTTATTTGTTAACTCAACGAATGAAGGCTTAGTTGTGTTCAGTTTGTATGTTTGAATATTGATAGAAATACAGTACTATTTTTCTGAAATATTAATTTTAAATTTTGATAATACCGAAATTATAAGTGCAGTTTTTTTAATTACCAAATGTATTTACAAGAAACAAAGAGGCGCAATATTATTCTATTCACAGCAATGACGTGTGACGGAATAGAGTCTCACTTTCAAGTTAACTATTTGACCCACTTCCTGATTTGCCTGCATCTAATTCCGATAATTGACGAGTCGAAAGGGATCGTGATCACGATTGCCAGCGAAGCTCACCGAGTCCTGGCCAAGTTCAAAGTCAATAATTTCCAAGGCGAAAAGAAGTACGGAAGATTTGAAATGTACGGAAATTCAAAATTATTCCAGGTAAAGCAAAGTGAAAGAGAACCAGATTAATAACAAGTGTAAATCAAAATTTTTATGATCATATTTGAATTGAAGCATATACAGTATTAGGTAATTAATTAAGTGTTCATTTCATGTGATTGTATTTTTGAATCTCATTTGCTTTGAAATTTATAATGGACATTGTCTGAATGAAAATGTATTGATTGATTAATCCATTTAGCAAAGAAAGTTTTATACAATTAAACTCAAAGAGCTTATCGTTCACTCAAATTCATTCATACAGGTGATGTCAGCATTTGCATTCGAGCGAAGACTACCTGGCAGCAACATCAAATTCGTATGCTTGCATCCTGGTCACGTTACGGACACTTCGCTGGGACAACATATCTCTGATATGTCAGTCTTGTACCTCATGAGACAGTGTTTCTATGGTATGACTTGTAATCATTCGCATTCGCTTTTAATGCGTTACCACAGATGTTACGGCTATCACATGCATAATGTTTATTTTTTACGCGCTATACGTTTTAAACAACGATTAGTTTAAAAATATGTATTATTGTTATGGTCTTATTTTTTTACCTACTAGCCGTCAGTGGTTGTCACGCGAGTGATGTAGCCGAGAACATCGTTGAGATTTTAAAACAGAGGGAGTTTGAGTACCATTCAGATGTGTACTATGAGTGTCGAACCCTCGTAGAAGCAAGCCCTGATGCCAGGTAACGCCAAACGAACCTTTGCACAGAGTATCAATCAAACTTCATTACTGACCAGTCAGAGCAGGGTCAGGGGATATGCGCGTGTCCAACAACCACAGACTTACGTGTAGTCGCACAAGCACACGTGTTTCTGTGCGCTTACGCTATCTTTTGCCTAATTTAGCAATAATATCTAAGAGCAGGCTTAGCAGAATGGTCCATTGGGCATGAAAGTGGAGTGGGACTTTAGCTTGGTTTAACATGGTCCCCTTCCAAATTCCATTTTAAGTTCATCCTTGTGGCACCAGAATTTTTACTCATTCACTTTATTTATAGACTGATCATTTCTCCCATCTTGTAAGTGGTGAGATACTCGTTTTGGATGAGAATAAAGTAAAAATAAATAAAGAGTGAGTGTACCGTAATTTTTCAAGTTCGACCTATTTTAGGTCGTCTAATACAAACATATATAACCTTATTAACATAGAAAACACTTAAAGATTAGCTGTCTTTTAAAAACCATTAACACGTTTCTATGGTAAAGTAGTGTATACGCAAGGCAATAACAGGCCTTGAAAAGTGGAAGTACAAGTTCGAGGTTTGTTTTTAAAATATCGTCATTGTAGCTTGCAGCTAAATTGCGAATAATTGCACAATGATCACAGAACAATAGGTCTACATAAAGACTAAAAATACGCACATTTTACGGTAAAATCAAATAAGGGTTGAGCTACAATAATATTTCTCAGAAATGATGAATATAATCATTTTCGAAGTGTACATTCAATACTCCATCTCTTTAAAAAAAAAATAATGTGGCCTGCTCCTGCGCAATCAACATAGGGAATTTATACTGTATTCCCAATTTTACAAAATGCTCAAATATTTTCTTCCTGGATAAAAGATTAATAACTGTATTTTGTTTTTGTTTTTAAGGGATGCTGGAAAGCAGGACCAACTGTGGGCATATAGTTTGAATCTGTTGAAACTCTACTTACCGACTCTGCCACCGCATTTTCAACATTGGTAATGAAAATGATATGACAGTATTGTAAATTTAGCCTAAGAACATACATGAAAAATGTATATTATTAATTAAAGTCAGGCCTGTGATTATGTTGCAGAGTATTTACATATTGCTCTAATGGTATATAATGAATGTACTCTTTCTCAGAATATAATTTCACTACAAATTTCAACACTGATAGGCCTATTAAAATGACGGATCTCGGAACAATAACGTAATTATATTTATATATGAGGGATTTTCAAGAAGAGTACCGGTAATTGTTATATAATTCATATATAGGCTTATAACAAGGTTGTGTGTATGTATCAAACTGCTTTAATTTTTGCAATGGTAATGAGTGTAAATAATTTCGCTGTATAGGCCTAAGTGTAAATAAATAAATACCGGTATATGCCAAGACACTTTTTATGATTCCGTTTGGCTTTGATAGTAGACTATCAACTTTTATTTGGCAAAAACAGTAACATGCCTAAATATAGTCATGATAACATCACATCATTACTATATAGGCACATCATAATATGGGCATAAAACTTTTTTTTTTCAAAATGGTAGAAACTCAATATGCATACCAATATAGTAGGCCTATTGTTTTTTTAAATTTTATTCTGAGTAAGTTGATTGAATTTATTCGATCGTATATTTTACTATCTTGCACAGAAGAGATTTCTGGAAAAGTAACCTCTTGGTATCGTATTTTAATATAATATACTGGATTGATTAGATGAGAGGGCTGCCCTAAAAGGAAGTCAGACATCGTCACACAAAGCGTTGTCAAGATGAGCGATACTGTATTTCCATCAAACATTGCATCAGAATAAAGGGAAGAAATAAGTTATACTGTATAATAATTTCCAAAATACAGTTGAATTTCTGACGTGCAAAGTTATTAGACCGCAAAAATCTTTTTCCATAATAATTTATAAATAGTATTTTTCGTATGCAGTATTTTGCTGTAGCGCCCCCTATAAATACAATCGCTATATCTCATGCCATATGTACAATAATAAGCTTGGTCATGTCATGGAGGAATTAGTTTCTAAACTACCGTAAATGCTCGAATAAGCGCCGCGGCGCTTAAAACAATTTTGGAGGCTTCAGTGCGGCGCTTATTCGAGAGCGGCGCTTATAAAAAATGTCCGTTCCCATATTACATAGTTTAGTAGGCCTATCATAGTACGTCGTTGTAAATAAACGTTTATAGAGAAATGCTTGTGTCTTCATTGTGTTATTTATTCATTTAACATTGTATGCATTGTATTTAAAACCCTGTCTCTAAAAGTGTTTCATTACACACAGGGAAATATAAAGTCTCGATTAAGCGCCGCGGCGCTTAATCTAGAGAGGCGCTCTTAGCTAAAAAAAATTATTAGGCTTGTTGCAGCGCTTATTGAGAGCGGCACTTATTCGAGCATTTACGGTAATTCCTCCTCCAATGGTTATGCCAATACACGGAAAGATCTTTGCCACAACAGCATAAAGCTAACCACTAATATCTCTTTTATGCGATGACTTCATATTGGTAAGCTACACAATAATTTGATTTTAGCTTTTGACGTCGACATCGGAGTACATTATGTATAAACCATAGAGAAAATAGTTCTATTTTCTCTATGTATAAACAGAGACTAATATGATAATCCATCATCAGATTTTAACGACAAGACAGGATCTCGGACAAAAATACTTTATAATCAATCATAAAGAGATAACAAGCCGTCTTTCTTAAAATAATAGAAATTAATTTGAGCTAGATACAAGAATTTTAATTTCTTTTATTTTGGAAACCTTTCTTTTCATATTTCTCCTCTCCTCCAAAACAGCTGTTAGGCGATTTCTTTGATTTACAATCAAAGCGCATTTTCCCATAGGTTGGGATGGAGTGCGACCTCAATCATCAAAAAACTACAATTAAAGCAGACAGACGTTTTATACGTTTTATCATGTTCTGTTTGATGTATACACTGCTTAATATTAATTAAAGGCAAGCTCTGGAGGAAAAAAATATTTTGATACTGATTTTTCTAAGACAAAAAAGCATATTTGAACTCAGGAGCGGTTAATGAGATAAGCCTACCAAATTTTGAATACAGTCCGCCCTTAAATTTGAGACCCCCTGTAATTCTGAGACCCCTCTAATTCGAGACCACTTTACCAACTAAATACAGTACTGTGTAATTTGAAAATTTGAGCAAATTCAAAATTAAGAGATGTTCATAAGTTTATCCATATAAATAAAGATTTCTTAGTACGGTAGTGGTGGGCTATGGGTGATATTTACTAGGTACAGTTTATTTTTTTCTCTCATTAATCATTGTAGTGACCATTTCCACCCTGTACTTCATCATTTACAAAACATTTTAATAAGCTTAATTTTAATGACTGATAATATCGACTTCATATTCATGCTATATGTAACACTAGTGTTGCAACACAAAATGTGTATCAATAACAAAAATTTCAGGGGCATTTGCTTATCTAACAGGCTATTCACTTATTAAAATAATTAGAAAAAAATATTTTTATTGTGTGATGATTACTTACTGTACAATTACGACGACTCACCTGCTGCGGTCCCAGGATTTAATAACTTTTTTTGCAGATTTTTGTGTAGAATTAGTACAATCTTTAGTTTGTACTTAACTGGTGGTAGCCACTGTGTGCGCAGAACCATGGAGATCCGGGTGGAAATAGTCACTGCTGCAATGATTATTGATAGAAAAAAGTTAAACGGTACCTATTTTTTCCCGAACAGTACGTATCTTGCCGTAAGCATTTAAAATAATAACATATATGTAGATACCCATTTTATCATCATAAGGCCAAAAAAATAAATTGTTTGTTGGCCCTCCTCATCAATCCTAACTAACTGAAAAAACTAGGGGCGACAAAACAAAAAAAAAACTTTAAAAAATGGTTTTTTTTATAGATTTTTTTCTTTAAAAAAATATGTGAGTGAATTGATCTTTTTTTTTTTTTTTGCCAGATGCCCTACAAAGTTACATGAAATTGTTGTCTGATGTAAGATATTGTCATTCTAGGCTTACATTAATTGCATATGTCAACTGTGGGTTATTTTATTTCCATCTGATGAGTAAAAACAAAAACTTCTCCACCCGCCCCTTTTTTATCATTTAAAATAAAAAGGGCAAACAAACAATTTATTTTTTAGGCCTAATATGACTTCAGATAAAAAGTTGACCTTTTACACATAGGCCTATGTTAACCGCCAAATGGTCACTTTTCCCCTGCTCCCTCTTCAATTTTTTTTGCCTGCACTGTCCCATTTTTTAACCGATTTTCTTAACAAGGGTGTAAAAGTTCTCAAAGTGTAAATTTTATGTTTACTTTTAGTATGCTGCTCAGATTTTTTTCCCAATGAGTTTTAAACAGTTTCAAATAGGTAAAAAAAAAACAACAGTTTCTTTGAAAACAATAAATGGTTGTTCCATGTTGTCTATTGGAGACCACCTTTAGCTTCGGTCTTCATTTAGAGGTTCAGGTTCATTTTCTAATTATGCTGTTTGGAGACTACTTCTAACCTGTGGTCTCTATAATATAGAGTTTCTAAGACCAAACCCTGAAACCACCCCAACTTTCAGGTACACAAAGTGGTCTCGAATTGGATGGCAGACTGATTTAAAAACAGGATGAAAAAGGTGGACGGAAAAAAGTGGTTACGCCACTTTCCCTTCCCCCTCCCCAGTTTTTAAATATCCAAAAATCTGTATCTCATTAACCGCTTTCAAGTTTTTCGTCAAATATACTTTTTGTGTCTTTGAAAAATCAGTTTACAATATATATATATATATATATATATATA